ATGCATCCATGCATACATACATACACACGTACATGCATGCATACATACATGCATGTGCATGCATACATACATACATGCGTACATACGTACATATGTACATACGTGCATGCACACATCTATACCTGCATACATACATACATACATACATACATACATGCATGCATGCATACATACATACATACATACATACATAAGTTCATGCATGCGTGCGTGCGTGCATGCGTGCATGCATGTGCAGGCATATGTGCATAAAAAATACTCCGACGGTAGGACCCCACATGATAATCTGTTTAGCTTACCCTTTGCCCTTTCCTCCTCCCCCTGGCGGACACACTCTCCTCGCGCCCTCTGCACTGCCCTCTCTTCCTCATTCTATTCCTCTTCCTACTTCTCCTCCTCCTCCTCCTCCTCCTCCTCCTCCTCCTCCTCCTCCTCCTCCTCCTCCTCCCTCCTCCTCCTCCTCCTCCTCCTCCTCCTCCTCCTCCTCCTCCTCCTCCTCCTCCTCCTCCTCCTCTCGCGCCACCTCCTCCTCGTCGTCGCCCTCCCCCATGCCCCTTCCCTCCTCATCCTCCTGCTTCTTTTCCATGTGCACCTCCCGTTCCCCTGGTCGTGGCAAGCAACTCGATTTTCTTCGGCGCCGTCGCCGCGTCGGCCAGCACGCGCGCGTTTGCCGACGTCTAGATCGCGAAGCCGTCGGGACAACCCTTCGGGCCAGGCCGTTGGGGCAACCTCGCAGGCCGCAGGGGCGCGGGAGCCAGCCGTTGGGACAACCCCGCGGGCCTCTAGGTGCGCGCCGGGGCGCTCAGGCGGGCGGCAGCACGAAGCCCAGCTCTGCCGCGAGCTGCTCCGCCTCAGCCCTGGAATCCACCGCTCTCTTGTCGAACTCCTGGAGCGCCTTCCGCAGTGACGCCGGCGGCCCGCGCTCCAGGAACTCTCGCGCGGGCGGCCGCAGGATCAGCATGTTTCGCATGCACGTGGCGCGGGAGAACATGACGTAGAGGTGCAGCCACCACATTTCGTCCGACATGCCCGTGCGGCCAGCGTCCTCATCCCTGGCGCTGTCGATGGTGACGCCCTTGCGCAGCGTCTGGCCCTGCGACAGCGTGGAGGTCAGGTAGGACGCATGCGTCAGGGTGAACCCCGAGCGGCGCTCAGTGTGGGCCCCCGAGCTTTGCCACGTGAACTCCTGCTCGCTGGGCTTGAACATGAGCAAGCTCCTCGCTCGCGCTTCGGCCTCGCCGTCGTCGGCAACGCCATCGGCGCCCTGCAGCTGCACCTCGGCGACCTGCTTGCAGATCGGGGACTCCTAGAAGCCGTGCACCTGCAGCCAGATCCCCTGCGGTAGGAAGCGGGGGCGGAAGAGCTGGCCCGGCGCGCACTCCTCGTAGTCCTGCTCGTCGTCTGCGTGAAACTCGAAGGACACGATGGTGGCCCGTTGCTCCTGCACGAGCCCCAACTTCTTCTTCAGCTCCTCCTGCACGGCCGTGAACCGGACCTCCATGCCGACGTGTGCCGGTAAGACGCCGTGGATGTCCCCCGTCTTGTGCATGTTCGGGACGTTCAGGAGGCGCCGGCCTGCGTCTGGGTCGCCTTGAATCGTGCCGCACTCGTCTACGGCCTGCAGGAAAACGAGGGGGACGCCGAGGCGCCGCGCGTCGCGACGAGCGCGCGTGTTGATCCACCTCGCCAGCGTCTCCCAGTAGATGCCCATGCCGTAGCCGAGCCGGAAATTCTCGTGCTGGTGCCGTGGGTCCAGGACGCCGTGGTTGTCCGAGGCCAACGTCTTCTCCCAGGCGGACCAGACCTCTGGTGGGAAGCGCTTGCCCTCGCGCATGCAGCCCAAGAACGCGATCAGAGGGTCCCCCAGCTCGAAGCGCTTTGTGCCCTTCAGCTCGAAGACGCAGGGGATCTGAGAGAAGACCCTGATGGCGCGCTGGATCTCCACCGTCGGCGGCTCCGCGTACTTGTACGACCCTTTTCCGTCGTCCAGGCGCTCGTTCACGTCCGTCAGGAACCCGATGCTGCCCGTGGGCTTCAGCTGCAGGAAATCGCCGAGGTGCAGCACGATGGGGACGCGTCCGAAGTGGTGGTGCGGCCGCTTGTAGGTGGACTCCTGCACGTCGTGCGTGTCACTGCGTCCGTGGCAGGCGCGAAGGTCCAGCGCGTTGTACAGAGCTGCCGCCACCATGCTGACCTCCTCGATGACCAGAACGCGGACGTGCTCCCACAGCCATGTCAACCTCTTCTGAATGCCCCCCGGTCTCAACTGGCGCCCGCTGCGAGCTGACAGAAACCGTTGAAACCAGAACGGGCAAAAAAAAAATTGCGTTAGTGGCCCCTTACCCACGAACACGCAGGGCGTTTTTTGTGGGCGGCTGACGGTGGGTTACCACCGCCAACCCGGACGCAAGGGTTCCCCCCTGCGCCCGATTCGGCTGACGATGGGTTACCACCGCCAGCCCGGAGACAAGGGGTTACCCCTGCGCCCGATTCGGCCGCCGATGGGTTACCACCGGCGGCCCGGAGACAAGGGGTTGTCCCTGCCCCCGATTCGGCCGAGGATGGGTTACCACCCTCGGCCCGGACGCAAGGGTTCCCCCCTGCGCCCGATTCGGCTGACGATGGGTTACCACCGCCAGCCCGGAGACAAGGGGTTACCCCTGCCCCCGATTCGGCCGAGGATGGGTTACCACCCCCGTCCCGGATGCAAGGTTCCCCCCCTGCGCCCGATTCGGCTGACGATGGGTTACCACTGCCAGCCCGGAGACAAGGGGTTACCCCTGCCCCCGGTTCGGCCGAGGATGGGTTACCACCCCGGGCCCAGACGCAAGGGGCTACCCCTGCGCCCGATTCGGCCGCCGATGGGTCACCACCGGCGGCCCGGAGACAAGGGGTTATCCCTGCCCCCGATTCGGCCGAGGATGGGTTACCACCCCCCGCCCTGACGCAAGGGGCTACCCCTGCGCCCGGCCGCTGTCTCGTCGTCGTCATCGTCAGTTCCTCAGTCGCCCTCTCGGACACCGCGGCCGTGGGGCGGCGGAGCCTCTCGGACCTCCACGCTGTCGCATGACTACAACAAGTTTGCCGACGACCAGCTCGGACGATGCTACCCGGACTTCTCAATCGCCCTTTCGGGCACGCAGGCCCATGACAACAACAATCTTGCCCGCGACCAGTTCAGACAGACGAGACTCCCGCTTGGTAACTCCCCGGTATTCAGGCCGCAGGAGCGAGTTCTAAAATCCGTCCTCAGACCTCCAAGTGACGACAGGAGACGGTCCTCTGACGGGGCTACCCGCACCGCCCACAGACAAAGTTCCCCATTGATATTTCCCCCGTGTTCAGGCCGCAGGAGCTGAGGAGCCCAAAAAGCTCGCTCGGATGACCCGCTCGGGTTCGAACATAAAGTTCGTGCCCCATAGGGAGGGGGCTCCCGCCTGAGACTTCCTCGCAATTCACTCACAGACGAGGTTCCCGCTTGAGACTTCCTTCATATTCAAGCCTCAAGAGCCCAAAAGTGACGACAGTTACAGGGTTCCGATGACCCGCTCGGATTAGTTACATGATTTGCGGGCCCCATAAAGAGGGCGTTCCAGCCTGAGACGTCCTCGCAATTCACTCAGAGACGAGGCTCCCGCTTGATACTTCCTCCATACTCAGGCCTCAGAGGCCCAAAAGTGGCGACAGTTACAAGGATTCACTCAGAGACGAGGCTCCCGCTTGATACTTCCTCCATACTCAGGCCTCAGAGGCCCAAAAATGACGACAGTTACAGGGTTCCGATGACCCGCTCGGATTAGTAACATGATCTGCGGGCCCCATAGGGAGGGGGCTCCCGCCTGAGACTTCCTCGAAATCCACTCACAGACGAGGCTCCCGCTCGAGACTTCCTTCATACTCAAGCCTCAAAAGCCCAAAAGTGACGACAGTTACAGGGTTCCGACGACCCGCTCGGATTAGTAACGTGATCTGCGGGCCCCACAGGGAGGGGGCTCCCGCCTGAGACTTTCCCGCAATTCACTCAGAGACGAGGCTCCCGCCTGATACTTCCTCCATATTCAGGCCTCAAGAGCCCAAAAGTGACGATAGTTACAAGGTTCCGATGACCCGCTCGGATTAGTAACATGATTTGCGGGCCCCATAGGGATGGGGCTCCCGTTTGAGACTTTTTCGAAATTCACTCACAGACGAGGCTCCCGCTTGATACTTCCTCCATATTCAAGCCTCAGAGGCCCAAAAGTGACGACAGGTACAGGGTTCCGACGACCCGTTCGGATTAGTAACATGATCTGCGGGCCCCATAGGGAGGGGGCTCCCGCCTGAGACTTCCTCGCAATTCACTCAGAGGCTCCCGCCTGATGACGAAATGATGAGTGAGCGAATGATGATGATGAGTGTGTGATGAATGAGTGATGATGATGATGTTGATGATGATGAGGAGGATGAGGAGGAGGATGATGATGATGGGGAGGAGGAGGAGGAGGATGATGATGATGATGGCCACTCAGCGGGTGATCGAGAGATTATGATGGAGATGGTGACGATGATGTTGAGAGTGGCAGCGGTCCTACCATCGGAGGACCAATGCCTCCGAAGCCTATTGAGGATGAGTGAGTAATTGAGTGAGTGAGTGGGTGATCGAGTGGTGATGATGGTGACGATAAAGATGAGGATGATGATGATGATGACTAGTGATGACGGTGATGGTGGTTGATGGTGATGATGATGGTAATGATGATGATGAGTGTGTGCGTGTGATGACGATGATGGTGGTTGATGGTGATGATGATGGCGATGATGTTGAGTGAGAGAGAGAGAGAGAGAGAGAGAGGAAAGGGGGGGGTGAGATCCTGCGCAGCGTGTGCAGAGAAAACAAGAACCCCACTTTGGATGTGGGGAACAAAATGACGTACAAGCATGCAGGCATGCATGCAAGCAGACATACATATATACCTGCATTCATGCATGCGTGCGTGCGTGCGTGCGTGCGTGTAGGCCGTAGCCATTTTGGCTCAAGGGCTTGAACGCGCGCCCGTCCTTGTGCTGGCCTGCCGTTCGCAATTTTCCTGCAGGCGTCATGGCGGGATGGTGCTGTATGTCGTTGTTGTCCACGCGTGCCTTTGTCCTTATCACGCCCGCGATTTTCTTGGTGGACGTCCTCGTGTGCCTGGCCGTGTTCTGGCTGGGGAGCACCGACGACGAGGAGTCCCACGACGCCGATCGCTACGCTTCCGGCACGCTGGACTCCCTGGTGTGCTGCGCCGTGCGCGTTGTGGCCCTGCCTCTGATGGCGGCCGTCGCCCTCCTCGTGTACAAGCGCACCGCGGCCTCCTCGCCCCTGCGAAGGCTGCAGCAGGCTCAGGCATCCCCTGATCATAGCCCTGAGTTGAGGCCGCAGGGGCCTATCGCGGACCCGACGCTGAGTGTCCCGCTGGCGCGCATGGGTGACTCCGGCAGCTTCGCGAGCTCGTCGACGTCTGCCTCGCTGCCCTCGCTGTTCGAGGCCCAGCGCGACCACGCGATCCTAATGAAGACAGCGGGCCGCCGGAGGACCCTGATCATGGCCTTCGCCTTCGTGGTGGCGACCGGCATGTCCTTCTATAACGGGCTGAAGTGCGTCAGCTTTCACTACGATCCGAAGCTCATCGTGTCGCAGGGCGCCCTGTTTGGACTGATCCTCTTCCTCATCAACGTCGAGTACTTCTGGCTGCTCGAGCTGTTGGACAAGCTGACGGAGGAGCAGGGCGAGATGATTCCCCACTTGCACATGCACCCCCTCTTCTTCGAGCTGGGATTGAAGTGCCACGGGTGTGATGTTTGTCATGAGGCGATGAAGCCTCCTCATTACATTGCCTATCGCTGCCGCACCTGTGACTTCGACCTATGCCCGCGTTGCCACAAGAAGAAGGATGATCCAAATGCTAGAGGCTTCGGCTCCAGAGCAGTGCGACGGGATGGCGAGCAGCTGACGACTTGGTCGTATTTCCGCCGCATCTTGGAGCTGACCTTGGACTTCAAGATGACGTCCGCCAGTGCGCTTGTATGCCTCGTCGCTACGCAGAGCATGCAGATTTGGTCTCCGAGCGTTCAGGGATCTATCTTCGATTCCATAGTCAAGTACATGGCTCATCCCGAGCGTGGCAACGACGCTTTCGAGCGTGCGATGCTTGTATACTTGCTGGTGAATGCTCTCCAGGGCCTTTTCGGTGGCTTGAAGGCCTTGGCGCAGGATCTGGTGCTTCGGCAACTGGCATGCAGCGTACGGTTGAAACTGTTCCAGAGCGTCGTTCGAATGGACATATCTTTCTTCGACACGATGCACACTGGCCAGCTGACCTCCCGCCTCACTAACGACGCCAGCCAAATGGTCCAGCCGTTGAACACGCTGATGAACGATCTGATTGCGAACATCATGCTCCTCGTGGGTGGCATGTGCATGGCCTTCTACACGTCCTGGAAGTTGTCCATCCTGGCCCTGACTGTTGTGCCGCCGATCACATACATCTATCGGCGCTACGCCGAGTGGGGCCGGAAGGTGAACCGTTCGATCTATTGCGCGTACGGGGAGGCAAACAGCACGGCCACCGAGGCCATCCACAACATCCGCACTGTGCGCGGCTTCTCAACAGAGCAGTTCGAGGCGGAGAAGTACGGGGAGAGCATTAGCACAGCGCTGGTGCACGGAGTGCGCAACGCCTACGTGGGGGCCTCCGTAACTGCGTTCTCGACGTATCTCAACTTGGGCACCGCAGTCGTCATCCTTTGGTACGGTGGTTCGCTCGTGTGCAGCTCGATGGGCAAGACAATGAGCATAGGGAGTCTCATCACCTTCCAGCTCTACTGGAACATGATGAACAACGCCTTCATATCCTTGGGGAACGTCTTCAACGACCTTATCCGCTCATCCTCTGCCGCCGAGCGCGTCATCTCCCTCATCGATGCGCGGCCCGAGGTCGACCCGGACGAGGGCGAGCAGCTGCAGCGGCAGGACGTGCAGGGCCATCTGCGGCTGCAGAAAGTTGAGTTCCGCTACAAGACGAGGCCAGAAAACCTCGTCCTCAAGGGCATCGACATGGACATGGCTCCTGGCACCACCACCGCACTGGTCGGCAAGAGCGGCGGCGGCAAGAGTACACTGGTCCACCTGCTCATGCGCTTCTACGAGCCCACCGAGGGCCGCATCAGCCTCGACGGCAAGGACATGCGCAGCCTCTCGTCACGCTGCGTGCGCTCGTTCTGCGGGTTCGTGGCCCAGGACACGCAGCTCTTCGCGAAGTCCATCGAGTCGAACCTGGCCTACGGCCTCAACCGCGACTACAGCCACGAGGAGGTGGTCGCGGCGTGCAGGGCGGCCAACGCTCACGACTTCATCCTGGAGACCGAGGAGGGGTACGAGACCCGCGTGGGGGAGCGCGGCATGCTGCTCTCTGGGGGCCAGCGCCAGCGCCTCGCGATCGCCCGGTGCTTCCTGCGCCGCCCGCGGCTGCTCTTCCTGGACGAGGCCACCAGCGCCCTGGACTCGGAGAACGAGTCCCTGGTGCAGGAGGCCCTCGACAAGCTCATCGCCGAGACGGGCTGCACCGTGGTGCTGATTGCACACCGGCTGTCCACAGTGATCAACGCCAACCAGATCGCCGTCGTGCACAAGGGAGCCATCTTCGAGCGCGGCACCCACGACGAGCTCGTCACCAAAGGGGGCGTCTATGCGCAGCTCGTGCAGAGGCAGATGTCCCGAGACGCGAGCACGGTGATGGGCGACAAGGCCAAGGGGAAAGATGCCCCTGCAGCAGGGGGAGCTGGAAAGAAGGCCATGCAGACGGAGATCGATGAGCTCATCGCTGAAATGGAGGACAGCTCAGGAGCGCTGAACCCTGCCTCGGAGGGCGCCTGAGGCATGAGTGAGCCCAGAGGCTATTTCCTCTCGCTCTTCCTCCCCCTTGTGCTGGTTCTGTGATGTACGTCGGAACGGGATTAGCTTCAATTGCTATTGGTCGACCCCAGCTTTTGCATTTCTTCCGCCTCAGCGGGTTTCCAGTGGGGACCCGGGGCACACAGCATGGACCTACAGCGGCTGCGTGTTGATCGATCCAACGGTGTGGAACATAAAAAAAGCGTGCGTGCGTGTATGCATGTGCAGGCGTATATGCATACAAACATAATGGCATACAAGTTTGCATGCATGCATGCATACATACATGGATGTGCATGCATACATGCATACAACCACGTATACATAGATGTATATAAATGATACTGGAGAAAACCGAATCCAAGTCTGTTTAGGGCTATGGGGCTAGTGGGCTATGACGTTGGGGCTATAGGGCTAGTGGATTATAGGGCTACAGGGATATAGGTCTATAGGGCTATATGGCTATAGGGCTAAAAGGCTATAGGGCCATAGGGCTATAGGACTGTAGGGCTATGGGGCTATGGGGCTACGGGGCTATAGAGCAAAAGGGCCATACGGCTATAGGGCTATAGGGATATAGGGCTATGGGGCTATAGGGCTATAGGGCTAGAGGGCTATAGGCATGCTATTGGGCTATAAGGCTATAGGGCTATCGGGATATAGGGCTATATGGCTAGTGGGCTATTGGGCTATAGTGCTATATGGCCATAGGGCTATAAGGCTATAGTACTATATGGCTATAGGCCTATTGGGCTACAAGGCTATAGGGCTATGGGGCTATAGGGCTATAAGGCTGTAGGGCTATAGGGCTATAGGGCTATGGGGCTAAGGCACCCGGCACCCAAGCACCTAGGCATCCGGGCACCCGGGCTTGGGCACCCGGGCATTTGGGCACCCGGGCTCCCAGGCATCCGGGCACCCGGGCACCTGGGCACCCAGGCGGGCCGCGGAAATCGGCGGCAAAGTTCACCTAACCATATGAATCCGCTAGGACCCCTACAGAGGCAAGCTCTGATTGGGGAACATACAAATTCCGTCGAAAAACAACTTTCCTTGCATAGTCCGACTGCGATTCAAGAACGGTTGGGGCGCGTCGTAACGGGGCCACCTCTTCGTTTCTTATGGATATTGCGCTCGCGACCCTTCCCGTCCTCTCTCGTCCTCCACTCCATTCCTCCGCTCACGGGGCAGCATCTCGTGGGCCGTGGACGGTGGACCGCCCACGTGGGCTCCATTCATTTGTCGATCCCCCCTCTTTCTGTACGCCGTATCTCCCCAACTCGAAGAAGAAAAAATCGCTTAATCATAAGCGTTCGCAGCTCCACTTGTCTCGGATCGGCGCTGGACCCCCCTCCCTGGCGCGCGGAGCGCGCCAGAGGCGGCGGCGCGCCAGGGAGGGGGTTCAGCGCCGATCCAGGAAACCCGCGCACACTCCGAAAGTGTATGGTTGCGTCGTTGTTTCCCATATCCTGAGGTGGGCTTCTATTCATTCCTCGCATTCTAAGATGGGCTTCTTGTTATTCCCCATATCCAAAGGATGGGGTTCTTGTTATTCCCCAGATCCAAAGGATTGGGTTCCCGTTATTACTCCGACCGCGCCAACTTACTTCCGCACACACACACACACACACCGCCCTCCCTCTTCCTTATCATGCTATGGTATGATATGTTATGTTATGGCATGGTCTGATGTGTTATGTTATGTTTCGATATGACATGTTATGATATGTGCGGTGTTGTGTTAGTAAACGTATCATAAGATGGGGTTATTGTTATTACTTTAACCGCGCGGACCTCCTCCTCCTCCTCTTTCCTCTTCCTCCTCTTCTTCCTCCTCCCCTCCTCCCTCTCTTCCCCCTCCTACTCAGAGTAGAATGATGCACGCCGAATATGATGATGTCGAATGATGACGATGAAAGTATGATGGCGTCGATGATGATGCAGATGGTGAATGAGGTTGGTCAAAAATTATGACGGTGAGCGGATGCATGATGATGATGGTGATGATGAACATGATGAAGATGATGATGGTGTTGATGATGAAGATGAGGATGAGAATGACGATGATGATGATGATGGTGATTGTCATGATGATGACCATAATGATGATGCTGATGATGGTGATCATGCTTGGTATGATGCTGCTGATGATGATAATGATGATGATGATGATGATGATGATGATGATGACGATGATGATGATGAGTATGATGATGTTGCTGGTAATGATGATGATATGGTGGTGGTGGTGATGATGATGACGATGATGATGATGATGATGATGATGATGATGATGATGATGATGATGATGATGATGATGATGATGATGATGTGATGGTGATGGTGATGGTGATGGTGATGGTGATGGTGATGGTGATGGTGATGGTGATGGTGATGGTGATGGTGAGGGTGATGGTGATGGTGATGGTGATGACGGTGCTGATGACCAGAGGGGGCCAAATTGCACGGATATCTCGAGCGGTTTGCTTGTTTTGGTGGCCAGACCCGTCTGCGTTTAGAGCAGATCTTGAGGATGTCTCAGGTTGTTTGCTGGCTTTCGCACTCGAATGGGGGGGGCGCTAGGGGGTTTATCACGGCTTCCCTTTGCCCCCAGATTGCCAGGATGTTTCAAGCGATTGATTGGTTTACTTACCATCTCAACATCTTCCGCTTTCGGAGCAGATTTGGAGGATGTCTCGTGCGAGGCGCTCGTTTTCGCACCCCAGGGGGCCCAGATTGCGAGGATGTCTCGAACGGTTTGCTTGTTTTGCTGGCCAGACTCGTGGGCACGGATCTTCCCCAGGATGCCGCAGGAGGCTCCAGCAGGCTCCAGGAGGACCCAGGAGGCCACAGGAGGTCCCAGAAGGCATCAGGAGGCCACAGGTAACCGCAGGAGGCAACAGGAGGCACCAGGAGGCCCCAGGAGGCTCCAGGAGGCCCAAGCACCAGGAGGCCACGGGAGGCTCCAGCAGGCTCCAGGAGGACCCAGGAGGCCACAGGAGGTCCCAGAAGGCATCAGGAGGCCACAGGTAACCGCAGGAGGCCCCAGGAGGCAACAGGAGGCACCAGGAGGCCCCAGGAGGCTCCAGGAGGCCCAAGCACCAGGAGGCCACGGGAGGCCACAGGAGGCCACAGGAAGCGACAGGAGGCAACAGGAGGCCCCGGAAGGTTCCAGGAGCCCCCACGAGGAGCAGGAGGCTTCAGAATGCCACAGGATTGGCTCCAATGCCAAATGTTTTACATATGTTCCTATAGCTTGTCCTTCTCCTCTCCTGTGTATCCACTCCTAAGTGTTTGACGTATGTTACTAGAGATTGGGCCTGCCCTGGGCACGAGTCTTTGCTGTTTTACGCGTGTTCCTGTAGATTGCCCCTCTCCTGTGGCTCCAATCCGAAGTGCTTTACGTTTATTCCTACAGGTTGGGCTTCTCCTGGGGCACGAATCCTCTCCAGGAGGCCCCAGGAGGCTCCTGGAGGCCCCAGGAGGCCACACGAGGCTCCAGGAGGCTTCAGGAGGCCACAGGAAGCCCCAAGAGGCCCCAGGAGGCCCCAAGAGGCTCCAGGAGGCCCCAGGAAGCCCCAGGAGGTTTCAAGAGGCCCCAGGAGGCCCCAGGCTCATGCGCAGACGCGCACTAATCGTACTGAGATTCATTCACACTCCAAACCATTCACAGTTAGATTCCCTCCCAGACCGTCCATACTACTCGAGCCCTATATTCGAAACTTTTTGCGCCCAGACACTCACGGCAGACCGGTCCATGCTAAAAGATGCACATTTGGGGAGCTCCACGCAGTGAATAATGTTATGATATGGTGTGATATGATATGGCATGTTATGATGTGTTATGTGATACGAGTTCATGCAATGGTATGGTATGGGTTGGTTGGGATGCTACGTTTTGTTTTGTCATTTTATGTCATGATGATGCCGGTGATGATGATGACGATGATGATGATGACGATGATGATGATGATTGTGGTGATGATGATGATGGTGATGATGATGATGACGACGATGGGGGCGGAGCAAAATCTGAAGATGTCTCGAGCAAGGCGCTAGTTTTTGCGCCCCCACGGGGACCCGCCAGGGGGTATCTCACTCCTCCGTTCGCGCCCCGATTGCGGGGATAACTCGAGCGGCTTGCTTGTTTCACCACCCGACATCCTCCGCTTTCGGAGCATATTTTGAGGATGTCTCGAGCGATGCGCTAGTTTTCGCACCCCCACGGGGACCCGCCAGGGGGTATCTCACTCTTCCGTTCGCGCCCCGATTGCGGGGATAATTCGAGCGGTTTGCTTGTTTCACCACCCGACATCCTCCGTTTTCGGAGCAGATTTTGAGGATGTCTCGAGCGAGGCGTTGGTTCTCGCACCCCTGGTGGCACAGATCGCGAGAAAGTCTCACACGGTTTGTGTGTTTTGCTGGCCAAACTCATGGACACGGATCTTCCCCAGGATGCCACAGGAGGCTCCAGCAGGCTCCAGGAGGACCCACGAGGCCACAGGAGGTCCCAGGAGGCATCAAGAGGCCACAGGAAACCACAGGAGGTCCAAGAAGGCCACAGGAGGCCCCAGATGGCCCCAAGAGGCTCCAGGAGGCCCCAGGAAGCCCCAGGAAGCCCCAGAGGCCACAGGAGGCCACAGGAGGCCACAGGAAGCGACAGGAGGCACCAGGAGGCCCAGGAAAGCTGCAGGAGCCCCCACGAGGCCCCCCACGAGGTTTCAAGACTCCCCAGGAAGCCCCAGGCCCATGCGCAGAGACGCACGAATACTTATTACTCAGACATTCACACCCTAACTCATTCACAATCAGATTCAGCCTCAGCCTGTCAATATTCAAGTTCGCTTAGATTCGAAAATTCTTGCGCGTAGACACTTACGGCGGGCAGATCCATGCGAATGGGGAGTTCCACGCAGTGAATAATTACTCCGACAGCACCAACTTCCTCATACACGCACCCCGCCTTCCCTCTTCCTTCTCATGGTGTGTTCTGAAAAATGATGATAGGTGTTAAGCTTTGGCATGCTATAGTATGTTATGGCGTGCTATGGTGTGTTAGGTGATGATATGGTATGGTTTGGCATGTTATACTGTGGTATGCGTTGCAATGGCATAATACGGTATGGTATGGTATATCACGTTATGCTATGTCATGTTATGTGATGGTGATGGTGGTGATGATGACGATGATGATGATG